TGTCAAATTAAATATAATAAAATAAAATGCGATACACATATTATTATTTTAAAGGCGCAGTAGAAAATAATAATAATAGCGATTATACTATTATAGCAACCTAAACATAGTAATTCTAAAAATATATTACCAATTATAGTAATTATATTAATTATATAATTAATAGTAATATACTAATATTAACGAGATGCTTATCTAAGCATCTGATGGTAGGCAATGATAAAATACTATGTAAAAAATAAAAATGCAGATGTCTATGAACGTTAATTAATACAGCGGTACCTTTGATGTTGGAAATATGCTTAGCTAAGCGTCTGGTTACCCATGATAAATTTCTTAGAATTTATTATGTCAAAACGACAGACATTGCCATTGTTCTCATAAAATGTAGACGGTAATGTGAGTTATAATATAGTAATACATTTGACGTTTGAAATATGCTGACGTAAGCGTCTGGTTACCAACAATAAAATACTATGTAAAAAATAAATGCATACAACAGTGATTATTACTGTACGGCGAAATCTTTGATGTTTAAAATATGCTTAGCTAAGCGTCTGGTTACTCATGATAAATTTCTTAGAATTTATTATGCCATAACGACAGACATTGTCTTTGTTCTTATAAAATGTAGACGGTAATGCGGATTATGATATGGCGGTACCTTTGACGTTGGAAATATGCTTAGCTAAGCGTCTGGTTACCCATGATAAAATTCCATAACGACAAACGTTGCCATTGTTCTCATAAAAAAAATTACAGACGCTTATGAGCGATGTAATGTAATGATACCTTTAATGTTTGAAATATGCTTAGCTAAGCGTCTGACACCCGATGATAAGATTCATACGATTTTACTGTACAGTGATCTCTTTGATATTTGAAATATGCTTATCTAACCGTCTGGTAGTCTGGGTTATAATATGGCGGTACCTTTGACGTTGGAAATATGCTTAGCTATGCGTCTGGTAGCCAATAGTAAAATTGTTATAATTTATTTATTATATACATTCTATAGATGTGCGACAAATTAGTATAAGTCTTGTTTCATCACCACCCATTATAGGTTAGTTTAATTCAAGATTCATTACCCCTTCCTATGTAGGAATTGTTAACAGACACCCCTGCGGCGTTAATATTATGCAATTGAATTACACTATTTCAATGTAATGTGTACGCTTATCAGTGAACGTTATCAGTTCACATGAGGTTTACCTTACCCTCCAGTAGATGACATCGTAAGAGGTGAACAACCATTTCCGAATGGCTACCTCCCCTACCCCCTGACATGGAGTTATAGTGCGCATGCGCACTTTAAACCACCATTTTGATTTACCTTAACACCCCCACCTAAGTCCCAAATTACCCTTACCATCGTGATACCACGCCTTCTCCTTACCCTATCAATGATGAGACCACGCCTCCTCAATGATAAGACTACGCCTTCTCCTTACCCCACCATCGAGAAACCACGCCTCCCTTACCCCCACCCTAATAAATCCAGTCCTACCTTACCACCACCATCGAAAGACCACGCCCACTGTGTGACCTTGACATTACCCCCACCATCGAAAGACCACGCCTCTCCTTACCCCATCTATGATAAGACCACGCCTCCCTTATCTTATCTATGATAAGACCACGCCTTCTCCTTACCCCCACCCTCATGAATGCGATCCTCCATTACCCCCACCATCGAGAGACCACGCCCACTATATGACCTTGACATTACCCCCACCATTGAGAGACCACGCCCACAGTGTGACACGCCCCTCCCCCGACCACGCCCACCCATCGGTGGGTGGGTAGGTGAAGGGGTGATGCGGGGGGTTCTAGAATCCCCTAAATTACCCTACTTATTTATTTATTTTTTTATGTGTTATAAAAAATATTGTAATTTTAATAAATGCAAGGTTAAAATTTCGCTATAAAATAAATAATATTAAAATTCTCTAGAGAGAATACTTCTTTTTGCATCAAGATATTTCTTACGATAGTCATAAACCGATTTTATTAAAAATTGTTTTTGTTATTCATCTTTAGTAAACTCCTCGTTCAGCTGCATCGTTGATGACTTTCAACTGATTAAATAAAAATTTACCTTTTTGGTAATTATTTTTGGTATTATTAAAAGCTAAAAAAAAAAAGTATTTACGCTTTGAAAAAATAGAAAAAAGAAAAAAACGTACTTATAATGAAATAAAAGCATCGTGTAAGTGTTTAATTAACTAATAAATGTTCTATTATATTATATTATTAATGAATAATAATTGCAGATGATGCAGTTAAGTTTTATTCAAAATCATCAGAATTCGATGGTGGGGATAAGGAGAAGGCGTGGTCTTATCATAGATAGTGAAAGGAGGCGTGGTCTTATAAATGACGCGGTAAGGGGAGGCATGGTCTTATCAATGATTGGGTAAGAGGAGGCGTGGTCTCACGATGGTGGGGGTAATAGGTGACTTAGGTTGGGGTGTTAAAGTCAATCAAAATGGCGGTTTAAATTACGCAAGTGTACTATAACTACATGTCAGCGGTGGGGGACGTAGCCATTCGAAAACTGTTGTTCTCCTCCTACGATGCCATCTACTGAAGGATAAGGTAAACCTCATGTTAACTGATAACGGAACTGATAATGTTCATTGATAAGCGTACACATTACATTGAAATAGTGTAATTCAATTACTTAATATTAACGCTACAGGGTCTCCGTCAACAATTCCTACATAAGAAGGGGGTAATGAAACTTGACATAAACTAACCTGTAATGGATGGGGATGAATCCAACTTAAACTAACAACGTTTTCTAAGAATTTTTATAATTGCCTACCAGAGGCTTAGATAAGCATATTTCCGACATCAGTACTATATTATAACGCTCATAGGCGTCAGTATTTTATGAGAACAATGACAACGTCTCTCGTTATGGCATTATAATTTCTAAGAATTTTATCATCGGTTACCAGACGCATAGCTAAGCATATTTCCAACATCAAAGGTACCGCCATATTATAACCTACATTACCGTCTACATTTACATACCTATAACTAGCGGTATTACATTTAAAGTCGCACCCCCACCACAAACACTTCCGAGTCTTCACTGCGTTTAACATTAAATGTATACATTACATCGAAATAGTGTACGTCAAGTAGCGGCCGCCGTCACTACACTTGTCCTTGACTATTACAGAAGTTATAATTAATTGAATTATAGATAATAATTATAACGTCGTTACGGTGGTTACAATCAAGTAATTGTCATCGTCGAGAACGTCCTACATACAATCGTTGGTAATAACACTTCGGTGATAACACCTAAATGGTTAAACCGAATCAAGACAATTGGGCGTTAGGTGCGCATAATGGGTGAAACCCTTTTTTTTTCACAATCCGGCATGATGTGGACCGCTCTGGAACTACCACGAGGTATTGCTTCAGGGCGGCCCACGCCCTCTATAATTCACATCACCACGTTGTAAATCAGCCCGAAATTAATCAAGAGCTGATCCACAACTTGGTGTAGCCTCCCCGTTAGCCAGATCCCAAAAGGTGGTATCCGTTGCCCGGGCTGCACCACGTGGAGGTGGGGGCAAGACTTCGCGAGGGTTAGCTTAAATAATAATTCACAAAACATATATCACACAAATAGAGTGAGGAGGACTGGAGATACTTTATGAAGGCTTCCCCGTCCCTCCCACCATCTTGGGACAGTCCCTTGACCGATGGCCCTCCCCTTTGCACGTGAAGCACGCGTCAGGACCGCTACAGGCCGTCTGCACGTGACCCCTTTCGAGGCACCTGTAGCAGCGCGGACCCTTGTCCTTTGGGACCCGGATCCGGCACGTGCTCCAACCCACCCTGAGTCGGGTCAGTCCGACCAGCGGTTGCGAGTCCCTTATGGGAACCTCGCACCACGCGAAGCGGCCCTTGCCGCTCCCGTGAAGTCGGACTGACACCGAACCGACGGGTGCCGTCACTCTATCTTATGAGAGGATAGTGGTCAACGCTCCTGCGACGTCCTCTTCCACTATCCACTCCTCCACATCCAACAGCATGAACGCCACGGACATCGCTGGGCGATGTACGCGGACGTCCATGCCGTCCAGAGTCTCTCTGACCCGAAGGTCACTAGAGGGTGCCTGCTTGGCACACCCTCCGACAGTTACTTAGGGTCGAACGCCCCTGGACCCTGCCTCACCAGTCCCACTGTTTCGACGCAGTCGCCAGATGACGACCGGGTCGAGCCAGCAACAGCACTCTTCCCAGCCGGTCCTGAAGGATCCGAACCTTCTGGAACCGTAACGGTTTTTTTACACAGGCTTCCTTCCATGATTGGTTTTTACGGGTGTCCTTCCCTGTGTTTTACCTACCACCAGGGGATTTGTTTTCGGTGTTACCTTCACCTAGGTGGTCGCCTTACCAAGCTATCGGGCCCAACCGTTATGAAATTACCCTCGTAGGCTACCGCTTATTCGTCCACTCTAGGAGNGATAATGGGTGAAACCCAATGAAAACTAACCTAAGTCGTTGGGGGTAGGGTATCTCCTCAACAAGTCCTAATGAGTGAAAGGGTAATGAAACTTAACTTGAAACCAACCGCCATATTACAACCCACATTACCGTCAACATTTTACGAAAAATAATTGCTGTCTGCGTTTTATCAAAGTTATCTTTTTCTTAGAATTTTTATCATTGTCTACCAGACGCATAGCTAAGCATATTTCAAACATCAAAGGTACCGCCATATTATAAGATCATTATAAGATAATCATTATAAGATCAAAGACAACGTCTGTCGTTATGGCATAATAAATTTTAAGAAATTTATCATGGGTAACCAAACGCTTAGTTAAGCATATTTCCAACAACAAGGGTATTACTATATTAAAACGCTCATTAGCGTAAGGATTTTATGAGAACAATGACAACGTCTGTTGTTATGACATTATAATTTCTAAGAATCTTATCATCGTCTACCAGACGCTTAGGTCAGCATATTTCAAACATCAAAGAGGTCACCGCACAGTAAGTCTTTGAATCACAAGCACAAGATGAATGCCGAGTGTTATTCACCCGATTAGACATTTTAAAACTCAGCGCTTTGGAATGTTGTATCTTCGAGGCTATCAATCAAAAGATGACTGTAATTCAATCATTGGTTCTACAACAGTTGGAACAGATGGCTCAATATATGAAATCTCAGTATGAAGTAAATGTGGAAAACAAATGTATGTTGATCAATGCGGTTTCGGATTATACGATTAGAAACAGTTTACCCAATAGCGATCTGAGCTACATAAGCCAAATAAAACAATTTGCGAGCCAGCAGTTGGAACAACGGTGGACGATGCTGGAAGAATATACTAAAGAAATGGTGAATTACATTTTTTTTTTTTTTCTAATTGATTAGAACATATTTAATAAATGTATATCATTTTTTCAGTCTTCTAACGGAGAAAAAATATGCTCGTCATTTTTTGGGTCGTTGGCCAATGATACAACAGATGCAAATATACAGTCGGAAACAATCATACCATCAAGTACAAACAACCAAGAAATACCAACAGTAGTTGTTAGTAATAGCTATCCGTCGTGAAACGACAAGTATCTAAAACATGTATATAATTTATAAAAAAAAAAAAAAAAATTGTTTAAAATAAACGTATGTTGCATTGACAAAATAGTGCTGTTATTATTATGTTACGTCGCTATTTAGGGGTTTAGCCAAAATGCTCGTCGACAGTATTCTAAGGGACCAACGGGGGATAGCTGGCTAGGCTATATCTACCTTAGGTACTGAAGTTTCCTATTTAATTTATATTCCTTTAGAGGAACTACCAAGGGTCACACTACAATATATATATATAACACTTTAGTTTAACAACGATATAAATAAATATTTATTAAGCAATTGAAATATTAATGGATAATACAACCTGCTGGACACCTAGAGATGTTATAATCCTACAGGGAGCTGACAGCGACACACACACACACTATAATATACGGGGTAGCAAAGTTAAGTTAATGATCAGGCAAAAGTAGTGTTCGCGAAGATGGTAAAATGTCAACTGTCGATAGGGATATCTTATTATGGCACATTGGCCGTGAATTGCAAAAAGTGTTTATGTGTGCAGTCCGCCCTCCTGTTAGTATTGTTATATGTCACTGTGTTAATTATATATATATATATATGTCTATTAACCGGTACAACGATGTTATGGGAGACAGAGATATGGGCACATGCAAATGTGATCGTATCAATTATATACTGAAACATAGTGAAAATCTCATTTTTAACGTAATTTGTAATTCAAATTATAATGGATACAAAGACTATAAATACGTTTAAAGAATAATGTTTAAAATAATGATTATTATCTAGGATTTTATTTCTCTAATAACATCATATGAAAAAAACTATGTTTCTATAAAACTCAAATCATTTTTCTTCTTCTTAATTATTCAAAAAGGTTAAAACATGGTCAAAAACCTAACTGTATAATATCATATGCATGTAAAATACCGTAGGGTATTCTTAGAGTTTTGGTGAATAATACCTTACAATCAAAAATCTCATTACGTAACTATAGTTTAAATACTATGGCATCTTACACATACAACTATTGTACTGTACAGAAGAGAAAAAGAACGTTTTAGTATATATATATATATATATATATATATATTTACAGATATGTACACGCATATACATATATTTTTTTAGAAAAATTACAATTTCTTACTACATTATGTTACATTAAAAAAAATTTTTAAAACTACATTTTACATGTATATTTACAAAAAAAAATGTTCAATTCTTGGCAATATTTTTTTTACAATGATAATAACTTAAAAACTATAGGTCTTCCGGTGGTAGTATGGCATAATGCCCGTGGGCCAACGTGTCGATTCTGTTGTCGAGCGTGTAGCGCTTATCGTCGAAACGGTTAAGCGCCAACTTGGTTGTACGTAAAGTGCGTACCTCGTGCTCGAAAGAACGAATTGACACGTTCTGTCGGTTCGGAGTGTACGGTAGTGATAATGTCGGTGGAATCTCACCATCACGTACGGCTCCGATGATTACACGGGCATTGTCTCCGGCCAACGCTCGTTTTGACGCCTCGTCACCATCACCATCGTCTTCAAACAAACATCGTTTGTAATCATCGACGTGTCCGCGGATCCCCTTAGACTTTATGAGTTCGCTGCCTTCCATGTCAAATGCGTAGCACTTTGATCGAAGTGCAGCAATCTCAAAGAGAGTGAGGCCACTGGTCTCGTCTGAAAACAAGCCGGGCATCTTCTTTCTATTGGTGGAGTAACAAGGGTGATCCTTGGGCAGGCTAGATGCGTCCACGCACACCAGTAAATCGGGGCTGTTTGCTAAATCCTGATAGAAGTCGCTGACTCTGAGCAGGTATATGAAGGAGTCTGAGAAAAATTAAAAATATATAAATATTGTAAACATATTTCTACTGTACAGTTGTACTCACCAGTATCCATGTAAACCAGGCTGATTGCGTCGCCATAATGAGGTTTTAATACGTCGTAGAAGTACTTGTACATTAGTGACTTGCTAATGTCAAGCACTGCTAAACCGACGTATATTGGTTTGATAAATTTGACAATCTTTGTGTCCATTATGACGGCGCACAACCTTTGGCCGTATTTGATACAGTCGTTGAAGGTTGATTGGTTTACGAGCTTGCTTAGACGTTCGGGACTGGAGATTAGCTCAATGCGGATGCGTTTCCGCATGTTCTCCATTGTTTTCCCTATAAAATGTAAAAAATTATCGAATAACCCACTTTAGCATGCACTTACCAAAGACGGCATTATTCATTAGTTTGAAAAATGCTATTTCAAAATCATTTGCCGCATTTTTCCGCATTTCAGTGTTCAACTCAATGTATGGTTTCAACCAAGCACTTTGTTGAAACTCTAAAACGCAGTGCACGAAAAAACTCTAAAACGCATAATTCTGGTTTTGACGGATCGTAATCGGGTGTCTTAGAATTGTTCTCCTTTGCATAGTGCTTGACGGCTTGCACTAGGCCACCACGAATGCCCTGTTCCTCCATCAGTAGCATGTCGTAGTCGTTCAAGAACTCCAGCTTCATCCTGGTGTATTTCAACATACAATCGAAGCTAAAACCAGGCGCGGTGTAATAGTGCGCCGGGTCCAAATTGTATGTTGAAATACAGATGTCGCGGAAGTTCTCAAACACATCAGCCAACAACAGCACGTCAATCTTTAGGTATAGGTCGCTGTACTCACCGAGGATTGAGCAACCGAAACGGTTCCAAATCTCTGTGGCGATCCTATAGTCTGGGTTGGAATCCTTAAATGCTGTACGGCACAAGTCGCATAACACTTTCTCCCCGTGCCTGCGCATATCATCGACAGACATTCGGATGGGAACGTTGGTTTTGCGCAACAATTTAGAAATTTTGCGCGTCACTTCGGTTACAGCCATCACAAATGCCTTGGCGACCTCTTCGCGATCCTTGGAACCACGGTATATCACCGGTGATTGTGGTATACCTTAGCGTTCGAGGAGCTCGGAGGGCACATCGTCCGATGTTTTCACTATGAACCCATAGCTCATGGGATGATGGGTGTGCACAGTCCTGGTGTATGCACCCATACGATCGTCTGTTTTCTCCAGTAAAATCGGCGTAGATGACAAACGGTCACCGTTGCATCTTTACCAACGCGTCAAATTTGACCTTACTGNCCGTTGCATCTTTACCCACGCGTCAAATTTGACCTTACTGCCCTCCGCCGGCATAACGGGTAAAATAGGCTAGTTCTTGCCGCATATCAACTTGTGTTGCTCCAACGCTTGTTGATTTCGAAGAATATGCTTTTTAGGCTGATCATCAAAGCTGGTGAAGCAACGTTTGCAAGTGTATATGCGACCTAGGTGTTTGGTTTTTTGGCTGCGCACAAGCCTCGAAAAATCGGAAAAGTACGCGTAATGATACTTGTCAGAGTCACCGATGTACAACAGGTCAAAATGATTCTGTTGCTCTTGGTTGGCGACTCTTAGACGATACACCAACCACTTCATCTTAACGTCATCTCGTTCCAAGCCATACTCATTGACAGACACGTTAGGGTTTCGTCGCTCAAATATTTTAATTTGGGACACAGGTGTGGGGAACGTCAACCCCGTGAAATCATACCTGTGTTCCTCGTTAAATTATTTTCGATCAACGCGATATTTGTGGTCTCCCTCGACGTGTCTCGTCGAAATGGACCACTTGAAACAAGACTGATCGATATTCTGTGGGTATATGATTGCTTTTCATTGATTAATCTTTGGTGGGACAGGAATATATGATGAGCCGGCGAGAGGCGTATACTTGTATACGCTGAGCATAAGGCCGTCGATATGCGTAGCGTGAATCCGCTACCCCTACCCGAGTACGCATCTTCCTCGGCAAGCATAACCTCAAAATCTTCATCGACCGCATACCCGATATCCGTATCGGATAACAATGCCCTAGCCCCTGTATTGAAAGCACGGTCTTTGGACGGTGCTTCTGATCGCGGTATATGGTATGAGGCCTCCAATTTGAGATTATACTTAATCGGACGGTTACCTACGATTTCAGCGAGTCTGGCCACCAGCTCGGGTTTAACGGCGTGCAGAAAATCTCGATAGCTCACGAAATTTTCCACATTCTTCCGGTAAAACAAAACGGCTCCCCACTCCAATGCGGAATCGATCTCGGTGAAATCACGGGTTTCCGTCAATTGCATACGTAACCTTTTCGACCTAACCGCACTGTTGTTGGCCCTACTACGCTTAGCCGCCTGATGTGACGAAACAGATGTCGCGGAAGTAGCTTTAATCAATAATGAAATAAATTATTTATTTATTAAAAAATAAATAAATAAATAAAGTAGGGGTGGTAAAATTAAAGAGATATTAAAATGTTAATAATTGTAAAAATCTACATACCTGTTACAGAAGACGTTTGCTGGTTCATGATTTTTTATTTGCGCGTGTAAAATATTAAAATAATAAAATTATAGTTTTCAAATAATCAACTGTGCGTTAACATCAATTAAACACGAATGTGACAGGATACAGAGCATTTAACCGGTTATATAGTAAAATAACAAAATGCGTAGGCGTGAAAAAAGAAAACGTTGCCATTTTTCTCATAAAATGGATACAACAGTGATCATTAATATATTGTAACATCTTTGGAAATATGATTACCTAAGCGTTTGGTAGACGATGATAGCAATTGTTCTCATAAAATGCTGACGCCTATGAACGTTATAATATAGTAATACATTTGATGTCTGGAATATACTGACCTAAGCGTCTGGTAACCAACGATAAAATACTATGTAAAAAATAAATGCATACAACAGTGATTATTACTGTACGGCGATATCTTTGATGTTTAAAATATGCTTACCTAAGCGTCTGGTAGGCAATGATAAAAATTATTAGAAAAAGATAACTTTGATAAAACGCAGACAGCAATTATAAAATGTAGACGGTAATGTAAGTTATAATATGGCGGTTGGTTTCAAGTTAAGTTTCATTACCCCTTCACTCATTAGGACTTGTTGAGGAGATCCCCTACCCCCCCTACCTCCCATTACCCGTTTC